CTTTTAATACTTAAGTAGATTTTCTGTCAGAAATTTACTTTTGACACTTAAGTACAAAAGTATCAGATACTTTAAGACTTTTACTCAAGTAATATTTTTAGAGAAGACTAATTTTTTTTACCAAAGTATTTTTATGATAAGATACTTGTACTTTTACTCAAGTATCACTTTGAAGTACTTTATACAACACTGTTTAGTATTACTTTAGTCAGATTCTAGTTATTTCTGTGACCATGGTGGGTTTTCTTTTATTAAATGAGAGGTAACAACAATTTTGTCCACATGTGTACCCTAAAAGACTTGCAGCTGTAGTTGCAGCAAAAGTGGTTTCACAAAGTATTGACTCAGGGGGGCCGAATACTTTTGCACACTGCCCTTTTCACTTTTCTTATTTGTAAAAAATATTTTGAATCATGTATAACTTTCTTTCCACTTAACAACTGTATACCACTTTGCGTTGGTCACATTAAATTCCAGTGAAATATATTTATGTTTGTGGTTGTAATGTGACAAAATATGGAAAAGTTCAAGGGGTATGAATACTTTTGCAAGCCACTGTAGCTCTAAAAACACCCATAAAACGAGTAAAGATAAAGCAATAAAAAATGCACTAACTTTGTTTTTAATTCTATATCACAATTTTAATCCAGCCATGCATGATAACTAGAATCTGTAGGTGTAAAAATAAACATCCCCTCTGGCACCCAAAAAGGGTTTTGTTGACTGATAAATCAACAGTTGTGTAAAAATCCCACCATTCTGATCAAATTGTAGTTTTCTCACCTATTTCATATATCATAAAAAACAAACACACTTTTAATTGAATTAAAATGATTTAGTGAGATGTCTTGTTCTTAAAAGAGGGGATGCTCAGTTTGTTGCGGAACAGCTTGTTTTGGGGAGGGATGGATGACTCTGCTGTAAAAACAAGCTTCTCTTCCTGGCTGTAGCTACACGGAGCTCCCCAGTCTATTAATATAAACGTTCTGTAAAAGCCCATAAAACCTAACAGGGACTGATTACTGTAAGTCTACTGGAACATATGAAAGGTATGTAAAAATGTAAAATAGTACCGTATTTTTCGGACTATAAGCCGCGACTTTTTTCCTAAACTTTGAACCATGCGGCTTATAGTCCGGTGCGGCTTATACGTGGATTTTTTTCTTCAGCCACCAGGGGGCTCTTCTGCTGCATTTGCTTCAACCACTCGCTTCAAAAAAAGAAAGGAAAAAAAGACAAAAGCGATCCTTCCAGAGCCGACTGTTGACCAGGAAGCAGCGAT